CTTCTCCCTTTCCCGCTCCCCCTGCTTGTGTTCCCTCTCTCGCTGTGTCTCTCTCTGTCAAATAAATAAATAAAATCTTTAAAAAAAAAGAAAAGAAAAGAAAAGAAAGAAACATATCTAAGTTGAGATAGAATCATTGTTTTCAAATGTTTGAAGGGCTATCCTGTAGAGGAGGGCTAATTAACATATAGCACCTTAGAAATAAGATGAGGGACAGAGAAGTGATAAAGGGGCAGATTTCAGCTCAGGGTAAGCAAAACCGGTTAAGATTCTTTTGACCCCTAATTTTGTCTTTTACAAAATAGAAAAATACCACATACTCTTAACAGTGACATAGAGATACAGTGAGGATCAATGGGCACAGTGTAAGCCAGTAACTTGTAAACTGGAAAACAGGGGTCCTCAACTTTGGCTGTGCATTAAAACTACCTGGAGAGGGACGCCTGGGTGGCTCAGTCAGTTAAGCGTCTGCCTTTGGCTCAGGTCATGATCCCAGGGTCCTGGGATCGAGCCCCACATCGGGTTCCTTGCTCAGCGGGGAGCCTGCTTCTCCCTCCCCTGCACCCCCCCGCCCCGCTTGTGCTCTCCCTGTCTCTCTCTCTGATTAAATAAGTAAAATCTTAACAAAACAAAGCAAAACAAAACAAACTACCTGGAGAATATGAAAAGTCCTGATGCTTTCTCTGGCTGCACCCCAGCTTGATTCAGTCATAACCTCTGGTGGTGGGACTCAGGCACTGGTAAGTTTTAAAGCTCCTCAGGTGATTCCATTGTATAGTCCCATTGAAAACCACGGATCTAAAATAATAACTACTTGGATTCCCGGTGGCTGTGGAAAAAGTAGGTTTGCCCTGAGACGGATCAGGGGCCAATTAAAAATACACCCATTGGGGCACCTGGGTGGCTCAGTCTGTTGAGCAGCTGATTCGGCTCAGGTCATGATTTCCAGGTCCTGGGATGGAGTCCCATGTCAGGCTCTGCATTCAGCGGGGAGTCTGCTCCAGCATTCTCTCTCTCTCTCCTTCTTCCTCTGCTTCCCCCCACCTCTGAAATAAATAAATAAAGCTTTTAAAAATGCCCACTAACCAAAGAATTGGAGCTAAATGTTAGAGTTGACCAACTCTGGAGTAAAATCTAGACCATATAGTCAGTCAACAGCAAGTGTAACAGTGAAGATATTTTAAGTAATATTTGTCTACTTCGGAGGTCCATGACAAGCAACTTGGAGGAGGCTAGCTTCATATTTTTTCCCAAAAAAGTATTCCCTAGATGGGAGGATAGGGAAATGCAACTGATGGAGTGAAACTTTCTGTATGTTGGGGAGGCCCTGAAAAAGCATTCAGGACACCTCTGCATCAGCTGTGGGCTGAGTTTACTGTATATAATTGTATTATGCGTGATTTTTTTCATAGGTCTGTAATCGACGGAATATCCCCGTTCCACAGTTCGAGCCTGGAGAGGCATTATTAATAGCAGGCCACGGGGTCCTTACTGCTCTTGTCCATTTCTAGCTTGTCCCAGCTATATCGGCGCTGGTTAACCTGTCATGCTGGTGGCACCGAGCTGGACAGTGTGGCCGTGATGGGGATGCATGACAAAGATACCGCACAGCAGGGGAGAGATGGTGGGGCAAAGCACACAGAGATCAATCAGATAAATCGGTAAACGTAAAGCTCTTTACTTTCCCCCTCCCCCCTCCCCAGGGTCCCCTGTTCCAGGAAAAAAAATCAAGTTACAAACCCCAAACTGATTGCACAAGTCCAAGATGGGTGCAAAATGATTAAACAGCTGCATCTGCCAAAAAGATGATGAATTCTATATGAATCAGCCGAATGACTCAGCAGCTGAACAAAAGCTCATCTAGAGCATTTGAGCAAGGGAAAAGGTGGTCAGCTCTCCCTGGTACTGGCAGGTTCTCAGCTGGGCTCAGAGCCTCAAGAGAGGCAAGGTCCAGAAAGCTGAAGGGCTGGGGAGGAATCCACAAACAAGGACAGGGCAGGCAGCCACAAGCCCGGAGATCACTGGGAGAAGCACTTAGCTCTGCCTTCAAATATCTGAAGGACTAGCAAAGGGGAGATGGGTTGGGTTTTCCTGTATGGTTCCAAAGGACAAAACTGGGCTTGGGGCCCTTGCAGGAGCCTGCCTCTGAGAACCTAACGCTATCATTAGCTTTTCTAGACAGCTGTTTGCATACAGGGAGTAAGCTCCCAGTCACTGGGGGGCATTCAAACAGAGGCAGGATGATCACCTGGGGGGAACGTTGCTGGTGGTGGTGGGGAGTCAGCGCTGAAGTATGGTGTGAGAGCTTTCAAAATTCCCACTTCCCCCCTTAAAGTTTAATCTTCTGAGCCTTGTTTGCTTAGTAGCTAGAGTAATCAAGTAATCATTCCTAGGGGACCACAGTCCTGGCTGTGAATCGTGTTATTTTCTTCCAAATCTCTTCTTCCTCTCCTCCCTTCCCCGACTTCAGCTGACTAAGGCAGATCTCCTTGCCTGTCCTCCAACGTCTGATTTTTACAAATATAATTATCACAGAATTGTGCCTCCTGTGCCAGATTGGGGGGGGGGGGCACAGAACAGAAAAGTTACAAGGAATGTGCTCAAAAACAGCTCCTGTGACCTCAGCCATTGATATGCTAAGGAGGAGGCAGTTTCCATAGAAAATGTAGCTTTTACTGATAATTAGACTTTTTTCTTTTTTTTTGAGAAAAATAAAAGGAAGCCTCAGGAGAGAAATATTGTTCCACATTTTCACTGGATTTTTTTTCCTTCTGGGCTGATTTTCTCAACACTTGGCATTGTCTCAGGTGAGGTTGAATGGGACCTTAGAGATGACACCTACCTTCCAGATTCTTTGTTGTCCACAGGGAAGAGGCTGAGGCCCAGAAGGCAAAGTGGTTGTCCAAGGTCACCCAGCACCTTAGGGCAGAGCTGAGACTGTAGTCAGAAATCCATGCAACCAGCTCAAGTGCCCCAACTTCTTCATAGGCCTAGAAGCTGCATCCGTGCTCCCTCCGGAAAAAGGGTGGGGTCCCAGTTGTCCCCGGACCTTGGGCAACCAGGGACTGGAACTCAAGCTGTATTTCTTGAAGTTGTGAGCGGAAAAACTCAGCCCCTGACCATACAGGTCTCTTCTCCCCTAAAGGCTTCTGTCTCACATGGTTTTCAAAGTCGGCCACCCAAACCAGGTTGCCTACACCCCCTCTGCCTATCCATCTCCCCCCCTCGGTGTGAGAACCACCTGCAGGCAGCTTGACTTTTCACCTGGAGTGCAAATGTCCTGGGGGTCCAGAGTGGGTGGCTCTGTTTCCTTCCCAAGAAGTAGCTATACCTGAGGGACGTCTGGGTTGGTGGCCTCCCTGCCTGGGGCTGACGAGAAGTCTCCCATCTCTGTCACACCAAAGCGCCCTGCCAAAGGGAGTCTAGAAATAAGCTCCTCCTGTCAGCAGAGGGAACTGAGACAGACCGAGCTGAGTGAGCCCCCTTGCAAAGAGGACCTGCACATAATTTGCAAGGCCGGGTGCAAGATGAAAATTCAGGACCCCTTGTTCAACAACTATGAGGAATTTCAAGACTGCATCAAGAGCCCTCAAGCCAAGTGTGGGGCTGCCGAATACCACACCGTGAAGCCCGCCCAGCTCTGGGCCCCAAGTGGATGGGGAGAATAACTGCTTAAGGTTTAGGAATCAAGGAGCCAGGGGGACGTTCTGGTTCCCCAAATGTATGCTCTGTTCACCCCTAAAAATACACTTCTGTTTCTTCCTGGCCAGCAGGTGCACCAAAGGCCCACGGGATCTCTGTGATGGGGGGAGAAGTCGGTATTTCTTTCTCCCTCTGTGTTCTTCTCTCCCACAACACCCTCTCCATCCCACCCTCATTATTTCTGATGCTTTTCTACTTAAGTGGAACAAGGCTCACGTTCAATGTGAAAGAACTGTGCGATTTTATTTTGGACTGGGAACCGGCCGGGAGCGCAGTGGACCCCTGGAACCCTGTGGAGGGGTCGCCAAGCTGCGCAAGTTAGCTCGAGTTCTCCCCTCCTGGGGGCACTGTCACCCAGCTCTGAGCCGCCGGCGAGTGGGGAGCGGTGCACGGCAGCACCCCGGCGCCGCCCATCTCCGTGCAGATGCCCTGCCTCCCCCGCACCCCCCCCCCACCCTACGCGTGCCCCCCGCCCGGTGCTGCCCGAGAGCGCCCCCCCTACCCCGCCTCCGCATCCCCTCCGGCGCCAGCTTCCAGAAAGCTCCCGGTGAATTCCACAGCATTCTTTGGGCGTGAGTCATGCAGGTTTGCAGCCAGCCCCAAAGGGGGTGTAGACGAGACAGAGCGCTATAAATACGCGCGCCTCACGGTGCTCACCACGCGGTGTCGCCAGGAGCTGCGCACGGTCGCCGGGCGCCGCTGACCGGTGAGATGTCCCCACCTCTCCTACCCGGCGCAGAGCCCCACCGGGACCCAGGGCGGGCAGGGGTGGCAACCAGGAGAGGACAGGAAGATCGCTGGTACTCCCTGAGCTGTCTGAGCTGCGCTTTGGATGGAGTCGGGGAACCAGGGAAGGGAGGTGGCCCGAGCCCCATCACCAGGCCGCCGAGCTGGAAGCAGAATTGCTGGGCGGTGGCGCTCAGGCCGGGACTCCGGAGCTCCCGTACTCGCTAGCTCCAGCCACAATTCTGTGGGGTAACCAGGACAGGTGTAATGACCCTCCTTTTGCAAAGATGGGGAACCGAGACTTGGAGAACTAATGCCAGAGGCCCGGACCTTCCTGTGGCATCCTCCTTGTCCAGGTACTGAGCTCCAGTGGTGGTTGTCAGCTTGCCTGCTTGGGTCATCTTGTCTGCTCCCGAAATCCGTAGTTCTCTCCATAGGGTGTTTATAAGTGTGTTTTGATTTAAGTACATGTTGCAACCACTTAAATCCCACTCTTTCTGCTTCCTAATGCACCAGGATACATCAGAGAAAAGTCACAATCGCCATCAGATCGCAGACATCTGCTCCAACGGTCGCATTTTATAGATGATAATCTGAGGCCTGGAGAGGTTTAGGATCCTCTGCCAAGATAAACAGCATGTAGGTGTCAGAATCAGGACTAGAACTGAAACCTTGATCTTCCAGAATTTCTGGACCTAATAAAAAAAAAAAAGAAGAAGAAGCTGCTTATTATGCTTATTTTTAAAGAGAGATTGGGAATTTAAGAATAAGGACAGATAAAATGATAGGGTGCCGGCTGGAGTCTTCATTATAATAACAGTGGGAAATGACATACAATGTAAATGCCCAACCTTGTGGGATGGCAAAATAGAGGACACCAAAACCCTTTGACTTTGTCCCCCCCCACTCTCTGACTAATGACTAATGACCAGGACTGCAGGACACCTCTGCAGCCTCAGAGGTGTGCATTTAAAGACTATTTGAAGATAGTGGGTGTAAGGGATCTGATTGCACACAAATGCATAGAAAATAGAAGGAGATCTACCACAGTGTTGCGTCTGGATGGTATGAATTACAGGTGCCTCGTTTTTCTTTTCGGTTTGGTTTCTACATTTGGGGAGGCAGTAGGATAGGAGCTTGGGCCTTGGGCTTTAAAAAACCGTGGAGCAGCCCAGCTGCGTGACTGCTTGGCTTAGGTCTCTGCGTGCTTCCCGTGGCTCCATCTGCACGGGTGAAGCGTCCTTGGGGGAAAGAGGCTGCCTGGCGGAGGTGGGGAGTGGAGGACCTTGGCAGGGCTTGTCCCAGTCAGAGCAGTTGGCAGCCGGGTGCCCAGGCCCGAGCTGAGAGGAGAGGAGAATCGGCGCATACGGAGGGCAGTTCCAGTGCTGTCCTTGGAAGAGCAGTGTCAATGTCACGTTCTGAGTTGGAGTCTGCATTGTTATAAGACCCCCCGCCCCGGGTGATTCCTAGGTGCTCTAAAGGAGCAAAGCCCCACAGGGAGGGACCACAGGTTCCTCGGTCCCTCTGAAACATGCCACCTCCTTCCACTTCCCCGAAAGATAGTGCCAATGCCCACAGCTGGTCCTAGGTCAGATTTCGAATAGTCAGAATTTACTATGACTATCTAAGACCCCTGTGTTTGCAGAAGGCATTCAGGTCTCGGAGGTCCACGCTGGGGCCATTTTACAGATGAAGACACTGAGGCTCAGATTTAAGTGACATGGTGTCAGGGAAGGAAACTGGACTGAAGGTTGGGAGGGCTGGGTTGTCCTCCTGGGGTTGCCAGCCTGCTGCGGGCCTGGGGAGCCCCATGCTGTCTCTGGGTTTGACCTCCCCTTGGAGGCAGAGGGATTGGGCCAGGAGACTGCTCCCCATGGCCCAAGCTCCTGGTGGGAGACTGTACTGGCTGCTGGGTTTCCAGACTCCTCAGTCAGTGCTCTTGCCTTCAGCTCTCTTTTCTTCAGGGCCCAATGCCCTGTCTCCTGGTCCAGACCTATTTCAGAGGCTCTTGTATGAATTTCTGAGAAGTATCCCGGGGCCTCTCCCCGATAGCTGGGTGTTCTTGCTGGCTTTCTCTCTCTGGCGTGGCTAAAGCTCTGTTTCTGTCTGAGGCATTTCAGGCCTTAGTGAGCAGCTAGGGCAGAGCCCGTGAGCCCTGGGCCTTCTATCAGGCCTGAAATAGCCACCCACCCTGTCTTTGGGGAAGGCAATGACCCACTCTCTTCTCCCATGCTGCTCCTTTGCTCTGCGTGGCTGGTTTGGGAAGCACAGCTTGGCCGCTTGACTAATGACTTTCTGGGCGAGGCTTCCTTTATTTATGTGCTACCAAATACGTCCCTATGGGCCTGCCGAGCTGAGGGCAGTTTTTAGATGTTCACAGTTTCGGGAAGGGGGGACCCCACCTCCCTGTTCTGTTAGGGGAAATGAGAGAATTCAGATAAACAGTGGTGCGGGGCGGGGGCGGGGAGAGGGAGGAGGCCAGAAGACGAGCTGCTGGGGAGAGGGTTTCTGTTTTATGCAACAGCTCCAGCTTCTGGGAAAGGGTCCATTGTGTAAGACTGGGCTGTCCTGGGCTCCCAGCAGTCAGCTGAGTGGTGGCAGGGGCACTTTGGCAGGGCACGCTACTGTGGGCTCAAAGGGGAGAGCCACGGGAAAGGGACCTGGCGGCAGAGGGGCCCATCCATCCAGAGGAAACTTCTCCTGGGGAGGCGTGGGGTCCACCCTTTAACTCTTTGACTTTGCCCCCCCCACTCTCTGAAGACAATTGCTCCCTGTTCTACTGCATTTATACCCCAAATCTGTGCAGGGATATAGATCTCAGGTCTCATGCGAGGGATGGCAAATGACCTTTATTTTCCTCTGCCAACCCCCGAAGGGCTGGCTCTCACTGCCTCAGAGTTCAAGACTCAAGGCCGTTTTAGGGGGTGTTGAGGCTTGGTGGAAAAAAAGGGGATTTTTCTTTTGTGATGGATTGGGAACGCCTGCTGTGGGCCCGATTTAGTGATGCACACAGCACAAGGAGGGGGGTCTACGCAGTCCCCACATCAGGGCTGGGGAAGGAGAGGGGCCAATGAGTCAGCCCAGAGAGGTGTTCTGAGGGTTTATTTGACATGAGCAGGTATCAGATAGACATCCTTCCTGGATGCAGAAAGCACATGCTCAGGCTTAGTCAGCGATTCTGGGGCGGCCGGGGGGGGGGCGCGCTGGGGGGGAGGGCTGGACCTGAGCCCAGAGCTCTGACTCCAGAGTTCTCGTTTCTTCTGTATTAGGCATCTTCTCCTACTGTTCCTCCCTGTAGCCACTTTCTTTTGAAGGGGTCCAGGGGCAAGACTGAGCTTTTCTCCCAGTTTCCCTGGGGGATAAAAACACAGTAATGGCAGCCGAGGGGCCAGCTGAGGGCAGGGCCTCCGTGGGGCTCTGGAGAAGCTGCTGTAGGCTGCAGGCCGGGCCGGAAACCAGCAGCCTGGCTAGCTGTTACCATGACAGTCTCCTGTTCTCTACAAACAGAGGCCTGCTGGGATTCCAGAATTGGAGAGGGAGGCGCCATGAAGACTGTCCTGCTGCTGGTGGGGCTGCTGCTGACCTGGGAGAATGGACGGGTTCTGGGAGACCAGATGGTCTCAGACACAGAGCTCCAGGGTAAGTGGAGCAGGTGTTCCCTGTCCTAGCACACTTCCTCTCTGCCGGGCCTGAAGCGGTAGAGACCGTTTGGTCCTGTGCATCCCATCTGCTTTGCTCAGGCTGGCCCCTCTCAGAGCCTCCTCCCCCGCCCAGCTACCTGGTCTATGTCCTTGGCCGTTAGGTGGGCTTCTGGGCATTTTTCAGGTGTATCCCCAGCACTTTCTGGCCGCTGCATCCCTTTTCACCGGTCTGCTTGTTCCGGGGCCCACGCCTCCTCCGGGAAGCCTGCCTCATTCGAGACTTTGTGAGTTTCCATTTTTGAGTCTCCATAGCACCTACTATATGTACCCTATACCTTTCCACCTAGAAACCCAATGCTCCATATCCAGGTAAGAGGAAATGTCCTGCAGAGCCTAGCTTTGAGGTCCCCTCCTCTGCCAGGCCTTTCCTGAAGCCCCCCCACCCCCCGCCCTCCTCCCCATGCTTGTCCTAAAAGCTGACTGGTTCTCTGGGGTCGTAGTTAAAAACTCAAACTTGGGAGATCAGACTTGGGTATGTGTCTGGCTCTGTGACTCCCTAGCTGTATTAACCCGGGGCAAGGATCTGATCTCACTCTGCTGCTTTTTCGTCGTCGTCGGTGCAGGGGGGGATGACCTCAGTGCAGAGAGCATTGCATAAAAGGGCATGTGATCTGGCCGGCTCAGTGCTTGGCCCAGGAGAACCACCAGAAAAGCCTTAGCTGTTACTTCTTCAGTACCTCGGTGACACTGTCTCATTGCATTTGCCACACGGCATTGTGTCTTGATCATGGTCTCCTGTGGAACGGTGCCATTAATTCATCTTTGTGTCCCCTATCACGTGGAACCATGGAATAAGGAAGTTCAGATGTTTGGTAAAACGGACTCCCAGAAACACTTGTGTCCAAAATAAGATTTTACATTTTGATGTTTGAACAGTTATGCTTCCAGAATATTTTTTTAAAAATTTTTCTTTTAAGTCCCATATAGTGTATTATTAGCTTCAGGGGTAGAGATCAGTGGTTCATCAGTTGCATATAAGACCCAGTGCTCAGTCCATCACCTGCCCTCCTGAATGCCCGTCACCCAGTTACCCCATCCCCCCACCCTTCTCCCCTCCAGCAAACCTCAGTTTCTTTGCTATGATTAAGAGTCTCTCATGCTTTGTCTCCCTCTCTGATTTCATCTTGTTTTATTTTTCCTTCCCTTCCCCTGTGCTCCTCTGTTCTGTTTCTCAGGATATTTTTTTCCGTGGAAGTGTTCTCGTGCAGCTGGGCAGGCTCGTTCTCCAGAGCCGCAGGGGCATCATGCTGCTCGCTGTCCCTCCCCTGGGGTGTGCCTGGGCCAGTGCTTTGTGCTCCCTGAGCAACTAGCGTAATCGCTATTTGGGCCCTGGGTCCACAATAAGCCCCATGACGGGCCCCTGGGTCAGGGCAAAGCTGGGGCCGGAAGGCTGCCTGCCGGGGTGGGTGCTCCCAGCCTTGACAGCCCCTAGACCGAACTGGCCTTCCAGACCATCCCAGCTGGTTCTAGGGTGATATCCCCAGCACCATCTCTGCCTCTCTCTTCACTCTCCCTCCCTGCCCTTCTCTTGCAGAAATGTCCACCGAGGGGAGTAAGTACATTAATAAGGAAATTAAAAATGCTCTCAAGGGGGTGAAACAGATAAAGACCCTAATAGAACAAACAAACGAGGAGCGCAAATCACTGCTCAGCAACTTGGAAGAAGCCAAGAAGAAGAAAGAGGTAAGGAGGAGCCAGCTGACTGCACCCGCCCCCCGCCCCCACCTGAGTTCCCCTGCTGGAGGGGAGTGGTCATCACCCTTCTGGTGCCCTGCTGGGTTGTCATGGTGACGCTCAGCCCTTTCAGGCTAGTGTCTGCTGATGCTGAGGCTGTAGTTAAGAAAAGAGGGAAGGTTTCTTTGCTTTTGAAAGCTTCAAGGGGTTGGATCTTGGATCTGGTTTCTTACCAGCCTGGCCCAGGGCCTGATGATGACCGATTATTCACTTCAATAGATTTTTCTAAACCCTGACTATGCAAGCTCCAAGGTAGACTCTGGTTTGGGTCTGTCCTGGGTCAGGAGGGGGATGGTACCCTACCTTCAGGAAGCTTACCGAGTAGGGCAATAACTTTGGGGTTAAGGCAGGTACACACTGCCGTACCCCATGGCTTTCTAGAGTTCTGAGTACTTCATAAAGAGACATTTAAGTCGGATAGTGAAAATAGTGGGTCTAGCCTGTGCTTAATGATTCAACAAAACTAAAACACCATAATGGAATAAACGACTTATTTTAAAAAAGTCAGTAGTCTCCTTAAGGGTATCCTAAAAACCTACTCCCATTGCCTCCCTACCCCTAATGAAGGAGATGCTAAGACAGGTCACCTGCCACCTTCATGACCCATAATGCATAGTAAAGTGTTTTAAAGGCTCTGAGAAGTTCTGTAGTAAAGAAGTTCGTAGAACTTCATTTAACCCTGTGTTTTCCAAACCAAATTGATCAGGAAATCCTTTTTTCTCCCCATGATAGCTTTTTTTTAATAAAGATTTTATTTATTTATTTGAGATGGAGTGAGAGGGAGTGCACATGACTGGGGGTAGGGAGGGGGGCAGAGGGAGATGGATAAGCAGGCTCCCCGCTGAGCAGGGAGCCTGCCATGGAGCTTGATCCCAGGACCCTGAGATCATGACCCGAGCCAAAGGCAGACGCTTAACCTACTGAGCCACCCAGGCACTCCTCTCCCCATCATAGCTTTTAGCACAATTCCCTAGAAGCCACTTAGGGAAATGCTGGCCGATTCAGCAGTTTCTTTTGACACTTAATGCCCTTCCTTGGTATCAGTGTTTTTCTTCACCATTCTTTGTTTTTGGTTTTTTTTTTTACTTTTTATGTTATGTTAATCACCATACATTACATTATTAGTTTTTGATGTAGTGTTCCATGATTCATTGTTTTCGTATAACACCCAGTGCTCCATTCATTACGTGCCCTCTTTAATACCCATCCCCAGGCTAACCCATGCCCCCACCCCCCTCCCCTCTAGAACCCTCAGT